TGCAAGTGATCGGTAAAGATTAGGTAACAGTAACTACAAGCTGCGTCTGATTAACGAAATGTAATAGTTCATTTTCATTAACATTAATAATGTACAGAACATCTCAAACCATGTTTACAGTTTTGCACTTTAATTATACTCGTCGAATTAAGATTTCAACCTAGTATTTCGTCCACTTTCCTTTACTTTTTTAAAATGCTTTTAATCTACGAGGCATACTGTCAATTAAATTTTTAATTATTTGTGGTTCAATATTGTACCATTCCTGTTGTGTTCTTTCCCATAATTCATGAACATCTGAAGGTGCATTATTATATTTTGCCAACCTTCTTTTCAAAATGGACCACAAAGTTCGATCGGATTCATATCCGGACTTTGTGCTGGCCAGTTCATCACAGAAAAATTTTGATTTTCTAGCCAGGTTTTAACTATTTTTGCAGTATGCTTAGGATCCCCGTCTTGTTGAAATACTACTTCACGTTTATCATATCCAATAGAATTAACTACGGAAGGTAAATTACTTTGTAGAATGGTCAAATAATGCTCTTTTCGCATTATACCTTCGATTCGAACTAAGGGACCAACACCTTTGTGAGTAAAGCAACCCCAACACATAATTGAGCCACTTCCAAACTTCATAGTTCGTTTTATACCACCTGATGATCATTATTCTCGGATGAAGTCCAATACCAGGACCTTCTGTCGGATTCGAATCCGTTAATTTTTGTTTCGTCACTCCATATAACTCTTTTCCAATCTTCAGTCGTCCATTCTTTGTAGGTGTCAACAAATTGTTTTCGTAATTTAATATTTTTGTTTGAAAGAGCTGGTTTACTTTCTTTTTCCTTCGCTCGTAAACCAATTCTCTTTAAAGGGCGAGGAATGGTCCAATCGCTAGCACTTATTTCGATTTCCTGAACAGCAATTTTTGGTGTTTTGTAACTATCCGACCGAATACAGTGTGCAATTTTACGTGCTGCTCTATCCGAAATAAGTCGTGGTCTACCGTTTTGTGAAGAAATTGGTGCATACTTTTTTAACTAACATACTTTTTTCTTATTCTTGCAACTATCGTATGACTGATACTACGTTTCTCTGCAATTTGCCGCAACGACAAACACACAAGCACCTTTATCACACAAGCAAATAATACCGTTCTTTTTATCTTCACTTAGTGGCTTCATCTTGGATTAAGCATATCAAACAGAAAAGTAATCTAACAATATTGTGGAACAGTGGACAATCAGTGACAATTATTGACAGTTTCGTTTCCCTGACATTTACATGCTATCATAAACGTTTCTGACGAAACATGCAAAACTGTAAACATTGTTTCAAAACGCAATTATTATGAAATATTCTGTACATTATTAATGTTAATGAAAATGAACTATTGCATTTCGTTAATCAGACGCAGCTTGTAGTCACTGTTACTTAATCTTTACCGATCACTTGAAAAATTAGTCGTAGTATCGCCTTTTACATAAAATCAGCGGAGTGTGTTTACACTTTTGCTCGTCACTGTATTAAGAAGTTAACTGATTCTTCTTGCTGAGGGCTCAACCAGCTAGCAGAAATAGGATTTGATGCACCTTATTCTTGTGTTATTTAAGCTTTCAAGTTATTAAGTCATTTAAGTGTGTCAAGTTATTTAAACTTTGGAGCAAAACACCTCGCAAATAATTAGCCAACTCGTACTCCCGAAATCGACTCATATTACAGTCTGTTTAAAGTCGCGAACCTTCGAAGATTCTCGACTCAATACAAAGAATATAATTTCTTGTGTCGACGTTTTCCTCGAGCAAGTCTAAATTTCTAAGTCTAGGGTCACTTCAGGGTCATATTATATTACACTTATGAATCTTATTAAGTCTTGGTACTAGCTTTAACATGAAAAATTAATAAGTAAGATTCCTAAATGTCCTATATATGTATGTTGAATTATTTAATTATAGTATTTAGCAAACAAACCATCAAGAAATTATCGAACAGCATACCTTGTATGAATGTAAATTATTGACGACGCAAGTGAAGAAGACGTCACGGCCCTGGATCACTGTGTGATTCTCCAAAGGAGCTAAAAATTCTGGCAACGGCTCTGGAGTTATCTGACCTGAAAAAGAAATTTATTAGTCTTAAATAATAACTTTATACATATAGCCAAATTAATGTAATGATTTAATAATGTGAGGCGGATAGGTCGTGATAGGTACTGAAGGAACACTCGAATATGTTCAACAACCAAGATATTTATTCACACTTATGAGGTGATCGTCCGTGAAGGTGCCCACAAGAAAATACTCTTGCTTTTCAACAATAACGTTTATTAGACTCTTAACAATTAACAACAAATAACGTTTAACCACGATTAACGATTAACAACGATTAACGATTAACAACGGTTAACGTTTAACAACGGTTAACGTTTAACAACGGTTAACGTTTAACAACGATTAAAACTGAACTCTCAAGAGTAGGCGACTTGTTTCTCTAATTGTGTTTGTTTCTCTTAACATTCCGCACTTGGCACTCGGGGCAGAATGAATCTTTTTGATTCAAAACCGAACAGATTCTTTCCTTTGTTGCCCCTCGATATAAACACTACGCGCGCGTTTATTAGAAGTCCGCGACGGTTGCCGCGTGTGCATACTACCGAATATTCGGCGAAAGTGTTACGTAAAATAACAAAATAAAAAAGAAATCTGAGGTGAAAAATAAAAAAGAAAACTTTATTTTTTTTTTCTAACAACAATACACTTTACAATCCACTTCCAATCTCTAGGCGTGACTTTCTAAGACTGACTCTTATAATTTGACTTTCGTTCGGATCCGATTACTTTCTTTTGTCATTCCTCGACATCCTCACCGTCCATGCATTTGCTAGGTGTCCGCGACCGTTGCCACGTGCTCTTTCTTCTAGAACCTTCGGTGGAAGGACCGTTGGGATGTTGATGGTTCGTTAGGCACTTCAGCAATATACATTGTCGCCGAGTGCCGCCATATCTTTATCTCCATCGTCAGTCCATCGGATTTGAAGTATGCCGGTCGTGACAAAAGAACCGTAGGGATATCGTTAGACCTGTCGGCCTGACGCTTTGAAGGTATAGCGCTTTGTGTCGCGAGCCGTTGGAAATTTCCGTGGTCGAGTGCCGCCACAAATGTAAGTTATTAATAGCTTTTATTTTAGCATCAGAATCGTTTGCAATTTTATATTATAATATACAGGATACGTATAACCCTACTTGTAATAATAATTAGTCACCTTTCCTTTTCTCTAGTAGTAGTTTTGATGTTCTACGAGCGAGATACTGTCGATCCGTTCGTAGATTACAATATGAACCGTTTATTTTGAAAGTGATGCAAGTCCATTTTGGTAAAAAAAATGAAATATCATATAATTCGTGAATAATTTAGTGTAAACTTTTTATTTATAACTAGTTAATATTTAATATCTAAAAAAATGTCAATGTTTTGTTCAATGTAAAAGTGACCAAAAGAAATTGCGTGGCGATTGATTATGAAAGTGGTGTAAGTCTAATTTCCATAGATATAGGTTTTGTTCATTCGAAAAATGCTGAATTAGCAGACAAAGCATTACAAGGAGATAAAATTTGAGCATCAAAAAATCCCGATAAATACTTTGCCTTTTTTTTTATTTACAAAAAGTCTTAGCCTATTCAAAATGATCTGTTTCAATCGCTTATTATAAGCAAAATATGTATTGTAATAATTATTTAAACGAGGGATTTCATAATTTCCACGACAATAAAATTAATATGTATGTGTGGGACGAAACCACTGCTTCCAGGGAATCACAGGAAATAGCTACTCGCTGTTTGAGATATTTACAAAATGTAATGACTCAAAGTCATGTTATTATGTTTACGATGATGTTGTTCAGTCTTTGGAAAATAACATTGATGTAATTGATCGTAAATTTTTACTCCCCGGACATTCGTATCTTCCAAACGATGGAGATTTGGGTATTACAGAAATGGCATTATGAAAAATCAATTTCTTGTACACAGCACAGGATTATTATGATGTTATAAAACAATGTAGACAAAATAAAAAAATTATTTTACACGAAATGAAACGAGAAATATAAGGATATGGAGCAGTTACTACCTTACATACTTCCTGTGTACCATGAATATTTCAAAACGTTGCCACACAAAGAGCATAAATAAATGATATCAATATCTTATGTTAAGATTAACAATATATAAATATAATTAATGTTCAAAATAAAAAATACTACTCATATTTTATTTCTCGTTATTATTTATAAACGAAATAGGATTAATGCAAAATATATTTTGAGTGATATTTCATTTTTCATCATTGAAATTACTTTTACAATTGAATAATTATGAAAATGGTGCGAGTCCATTTACAACCCGTAAATATATATTATTTTAGTTAAATTCGCCTAAAAGAAATTTATATAATCAAATTACATATTGATAAATTGGTAGAAACATTGCCAGGCTTGGCATAATTAATTTATGTTTTTGAATTGACCAAGATGCTAACCTTTAATTTTCTCGAAACAACAAAAAAATGGACTTGCACCAAAATAAACGGTCCATACGTTGTATTATAGTTCGGAACAGGTGTTGTCTATTTAATAATTTATTATTAAATATGCATATTGAATTAATCTATTAGTTAAACATTTTATGTACAGAATATTCACAAATTATGTATGATGACCTTGACAGATGATTCTGTATCTTTTGATGTTACCTTTGACTGCCCAGATTAATCTTTTTCAACGAAACCATAGGTCACAAATGAACCGTTTTCATGGATACGATGTTAAAGTTCCATTCGTGCTTACATTCATATTATTTACGATATGTTTACATTTCATGGTCAGACGGGAAGTAAATAGTGTGATATTAACGAGAAAACAGGAAATTATTTCTTAGTACCTGAGATAGCCCATTCTAGATGGAATAAAACGCTGAACTTGATGATTCCAAACTGTTGCAAAATTTTTTGTGACATATAATGTAACCGTAAAAGATTCCAAACGAAAATTGAATGGCGTCGAAGGGTACGGTTCGTTTGTTGCTAGTTTTGCAGGCGGAAATGTTATATTTACAAGTTAGGCTCTCGTGATGAGTAGAATACGACGCATGTAAAGAGTATTTCACCTTGAAATTCAAGGTTTTAGCAAATTTTAACCGTATGTAGTCGTCTCATAATATCGCATTTTCAATCAAAAAAATTTTTACACGATTTTATCCATTCTTTTCAGTAATTAATTAATTTCATTATTTCAAGTTTATAAAAATCACCGGATCTAAAGTATAAAAATTCTTCGAACAATTCTTTTATAAGAAATAATCTAAATGTTTGAAGAAGAAGAAACAAACATTCAGAAATAAACGGTCGACCTAATAGAGAGGACAGGTAAAGTTTCATATTATAAACTTTGAAGGTTTTTTGCGATTATTTTCAAAGTTTTATGTCACCGTACAATAGGATTTGTTTCCATTTACTTACCAACACAAATGTCCTTTTTTTTATTACTTCCACATGAATTTCATTTACCTTTTTACAATATATTTCTCGCAAATGATCATCAATCACTATCTTCTTCGGTACTTTTTTCATGTGTTTCACATATGTCCTTGTATCATTCTCTTAAATATTTTTAATCTTATAAAATCTACGTATCGTTAAAAATTGCGAGTTATCTGGGAAATAATGAAACAACCATTTAAGCTATCGTATTATAAATTCTGCAACTTATGCGAAATACATTTTTGATTTTTTGGTTTGAATCGAGCGTCGAATAGTGGCTGTAAATTCGACCAATCGCGGGGAGACGTAGTCGCGAGGAGAGACGTCAACGGGAGTCGTAAATTCCCGTTACGATTGTAACAATCGACACTACGAATTGATCGATCTCCTGATTTTCGTTGAGATAATAGGGGTGATTAAGTTTCTATAACACTGTGATTCACAGAATTATAAATTATATATTTCCAACACTTAGATTACACTGTCGAGTAGATATAAATAGATAACAACTTATCGCACGAAGATAAGATAGATATGTACGTTAGAGCAGGGCTCTTATAATTGGATTTAGTGTATTAGTGGACGTAGCACTATAATATATTTAGTAGAGGAGATGTATGCTCGACAATACCGAGAACCGACTCTCGCGTTATGCTTAGACTGCCACGATAGGCGTTAGCATTAGACTTAGTAGTTGACTTTTCCAACGATGTAGAAGAAGTGAAGTTGAGTGACGATGCTGTGTCGGAGGAAAGCTAGTGATGGGTGTGTCTAGCGCACGGGACCATCGGATTTGTTCATGCCGTTTTAGGTCAGGAAGTGAGGGCAGTATACATTGCTTCGGATTGGATAAACGAAGGTTGGTGGACTAGGAAGGGTCTTAACCGCCCTCGATAGAAAGTTGCTAGTGGGAAGCATCGTACGTGAGAAAAACTAACTTTCCCGTGTCAAGCCGTAGTAAACGAAAGTCTTTAGAAACTGATTTAGAAAAAGACATTTGTTGGGTTTGAAGGACCTTAGCAGGCAAGTTACTCGGGTTTATGACGGGTGCTTAAGGCTATTGAGGGTACGCCGTACGGAAGAGCGGACATCTGGTGTCCGTCTGGCCCGCGGTGTGTGACCTGGGCCAGGCAGAGAGTCGCCCGGCGTAACAATGGCAGAGTGTTCACTAGCGCAAATCGATTAAAAAATTATGGCTCATCCCATTTCCGCTTATTTTTTAATGCGTTTATTTTTTAATAGAAGATTAGTTTCAACAATTGCATAACACAAGCTAAAATGTTTATTAACATCTTTGCAGTACTTTTCTTAGAGTTTATAGACCTTTTCTTTTTTTATACGTGGGGAAATCTTCATGAACATTCCATCGCTCTTCCGGGAAGCGGCGGGGTAGTGTCGAACTTACCGGTGCCCCGGAGTCTCTTTCGAATTGCTGCCGGAGCACTCCTGCGTCCGCTCCCATTCTGAGGGAGCCATTCCTCGAGTCCAGTTTGGACATTGAGAGGGGCCATCCCTCTCAACGCTATCCCCTGGGCCGCCGTGCAAGTCCGAGGAGATCCCAGAACCTCCTCGGTGTGACGACCCCTATGAGCACCTAGAGCGGCGCAAGGCCGCCCTTCGGCGCGGAACCTTATAAGGGTGAGAAGTTCTCACCCTCTCCCGCTTTGTCCGCTCCTTTGCGAGCATTACTTCTTCGCAGTAGGAGCGGACTGCGAGAAACTCCTATTGCCCCCTCAGCATCGCTTTCACAACTGACGAGGAGCCCAAACTCACGCTAATCGCTAGTCGCAGGATACAAAACTCCAGCGTATGCTGAACCGTGTCCTCGCCCTCTCCGCAGTGATGACAGGTGTTTGTTACCTCTCTTCCAATTTTCTGGAGGTATTCTTAGAATACTTCATTCCCGGCAAAAGTTTATTGGTCTACACGAATATTAATTGTACAAGGTTGAGCAGGTCATCTGAAGTAAGCCTGGACGATTAAGTTGCTTTTGATGATGGAAATAAACGTGTTCGCAGGGAGACGCTATCGCGAGGAAGCGTGTCAACGGGAGTCGTAAATTCCCGTTACGATTATACGATAATTGAATGATCGAAAGTCGCCACGAAATGATCAATCCCCTATTTCGTTTAGGGTAATAGAGGTAATTGAATGAATTATAAGACTGAGTTAACAGGTTTGCTTGGTTTCAAGGAAAACAATCAGATATCTTTGCCCTTTTAATGCCTTTTTAATAATTAATAGAAAAGAAAATAGTATGACATACATTTTGTAGGAAAAGTGAATATTTGCCAAAAAATTTAAAGTCGGTTTTTTTAACAGTTCCTACAAAATATCAAATTAATATTTTATATTGTTCCATGAATATAGTCACAATGGTTGCTTCAAAATAAATAATAGATACGATAGTTGTGCTTCTTTTCTAGCTTTTTTTAGAGTTTTGTTAGAGCGTTCATCTTTTTCTTTCCGCGCTTAGAACACGTTACGGTCGTAAAAAACCGAGGACAATATCCCAATATTTGAATTCTTTTGTTGGCTATTATTTAAGGCTTGAAGGAATGAGATATTTCCGAAACCGACTTGACAAACAGAGAGTTCACTTTTCCAATGACCATCTGTCTGGTAAATATTAAATATGAATAAATCTGCAGCTACGTAAAATTTGAAGATTGTACAAAATGGGTTTGTGCTCTTTTTAAATACGTTGGTGCACAACCTGTTCGCTTCCCCAATACCATCCCTTCCTTTCGAAAGCACCTTCTCAAATATTATGATTATGTTCCTGGATAATTTCGAGTTATACAAAGAAGGTGAAGGCATTGGCAGATAAATTAAATAAATTTATCGTAAATTTTTCTTTTGAAATGAACTCTCCATCACTACATTACCGTGTTTTAGCCATTTCGAAGCAAAAGGCTAGAACAATTTTGGAAGAATGGAATCATTCCGACAGTCGACGAGGAACTTTCAGAGAACTGAAAATATTACGTTAGAGTGTTACTTGGGCGTACTGTGCGTGCAGTGCGCGTAGTGGACGTTGTATATAGCGTAACAGTACTGTACGTCGTTTATTACTTATATCGCCATATCTTTTACAAAATGTCGTATACATTTGGCGAACTTTTGGACATGAACTTTGTTACGGTGCGGCGAGCGACAATAGCGCAAAAGCGCAACGTTTATAGAGCGAAAAATATCCTAATAGGAATGTATCCAGTGCAAAGATATTTTGCAAAATAGACCAATGATCGCGGGATACAGGTACGTTAAAATTTGCGGAATCTGGCGGTCGAATTCAGCACGGCGGTCCGGATCTGGGAGATGGAATACTGCACCGCATTTAAGAAAGTTCTAGAAGAAAGAATGTTTGCCAATGGACGAGTCGGAAATTTCAAAGCAATTTCAATTTCCCCGCGAGGATATCATCTAATAACGAGGTGCCATTTAATAAATTTAATGCGGAATAACCTCGTTTTTCCTTTGAGCGCGTTTCGTTTCCTCTGCTTTTCCAAAGAATTATTCACTGTGTAGAATGACCAATCGTAATATTTCGTTTTGCATTAACAATATCTTCTTTAAGCAATTAGGCTCCCGTCGAAGACCCAATATTAGCATTTACATTTTTATTTGTCTTCCAATTTGACTTGCAACCACTTGCAGCCATTTCACGCATCTTTTGTCCGAAATGGTAAAACTAACTCTTTACGATTGAGGCGACAACCCCCGTTTATGCTAGATTACGACATCTGCAATTGATTAGAGCGCAGTATTGGTTCGTAAATAGCTTACCTTACCTCTTCATGTTCTTTGTTAGGAAATGTAAAGTGTTAAACTTTAAAATGGAGGTAAAATTTAATCTCAAAAAGCCTCTGAAACTATAATTCTGACACCTCCGACGTTAATTTGGATTCGACGATCATGACAAAAGTATTATAGCTTAGAAGCCCCCCAAAAATGGTTTTCAGAAGTGAAATTAGCTCAAACTAAGCTTGGTTTTGAACTGTTGAGAAATGAAATGAATTGTATTCAAGAATGCATCTTGGCGAATGCTTTATAAATTATCATACAAAGAAATATAGAAATTGATGTTACAAAATCACATTTTCAAAGATGTAAATGTAGATAAATTATTAGAATATAGTGTTTTTGTAAGTCAATTTGTGCATAAAATCATTTTATGCTACCAGCAAGACACGCTAAATCATCTCTTGTTGCTACTTTGCCCGACTGAAAAAGTCCTCCAGCGCAAAGGGCTAAGAGGATAAAACTTCTGCCTTTTAGAAGGAATGGAGTTAACTTGAGGATATTTAGAGTCGTAATTATACCATATATTGTTATCCCACAATGCTGAACTTGTTCTGGATTGATGCTCTCTCGCACAACTACTTCTCTCTCTCTCTCTCTCTCTCTCTCTCACGCAGACACACACACACACTCATCCATTACCCATCGCATGTTTTTCTCATTCGCCCAGCATTTGCGCCCATTTACGGAATCGCTATCGAGAAGAACAAAAACGTGAGGGTTTTTGTAGATTTTTAAGTCCAGCTTTAGCGCTGCAGGAAATATGGATACACTGTACACAAAGACGCGGAAACCATAATCTGCGTCGGTTGACGACAACGTACCCATCCGAGAAAGGAAAGTCTGATCCGGCAATAAACGGAGCAGAGAAGAATTTCACGATATTCTCTGGAAAGCTGGCTTGGCTATGCAACGCATCAATTGCATAATTATATTTTAAATTTTCTCACGGCATTCAGTATTCATTTCTCCCAAAAATCGTAATAATACATTTATTACCCGTGTCCATGATGTTCTTATTAACCGAGCGTTTCATTAACCTCTTGCCTTACGATTTAAGTTGTAATAGCGCGTGCCATAAGCAACAACATGGTTGGTCACACGTCGAGCCATTTCACGGTTTGGCTGAGCGCTCGAAGTTGTGCAATGTGCATCTAATTTTATTTTGCAAGATATAATTATTACCATAAATAATTATTACCAATTGACCATTGAACAAGAAATATATATTACCTTGAAATAAATAATAAATCAACAACATCGACGTACCACGTCTCTCACGCGTATTGTTTACGTTTGGTAAACGACGTGTGCTGGTTTGATCGGTCAAGAACCTGGTCGCTCGAAAACCTCGTATTCAGATATCGCTCTGTGTGTGCTTCGGGCGCATGGAAGAGCATGAGTGATATTTAAAAAGCATGCTAATTAAATTTTTTTGCTTTCGGTGAAAATCAATCACTAAACACATTTTCGGAATTGAGGTGTCTTGCTAGAGTCTCGGTCGAGTAGAACAAGACTAGAAACAATTGCTTGAGTTTTCAAACAGTACGCATTTCTTATTATTATCTTATTTCTTGTTAGTCAGAAGAGCGCGGAATCGTTCCGACAGTCTTACAGTTTGGACAATCAGAACTTTTTCGAGCGTATTCATTCGTTGCGTATCTGTGTATCGGACGGGTAATCATTGCACCGTTACGTTTCGAAATATGATCCAAAGATACAGGACGAACCGATCGGTCTTTTGCCGGTTTTTCGTCGTTGCATCAATGACCTGTCCATGGCTGAAGGCTGTCGCGATGTAATCCAGCCAAATTATTCTCAGAAAAGGCCAACTTCGATATTAAATTTTCTATAAGTATAGAAATCATGTTCAGGAACAAATACTAATGTTTGCCATTCGAGATTTCTTGTATGGGCTTTGTAAACAATCTACAAAGATGTCGATATTCGCACAAAATCGCACTACTTTCAATTGTCAATAATTCGTGTACAGTTGAGAATGCGAAGTTGAAACTTTGTGAAAATGTAGCTTTTGCCTTTCTGAAAAGGTATGCAAAATTTCATCTCCAAATGTTTATTAGCTTTTTGCAAAGAGTTATTTTCGCTCACAAAAGTCTACAAGAATCATCTATCGATGGTTACAAAATCAGAAACGTTGTATATTTTTAGGTTTATTCTTGTTTTTATTTCTAGGGACAGATTAGACATATACCAGTTTGTGATTTAGCTTTAAAAACCTATAATTTCTGTTGCATAGAAATAATCCAAGAAGAACACAGTGTGCGGTAAGTTAAACAAATAAGAATAATATTTAAGTAAAATTACGCTCTTTGTTAGTTATATTATAACAGCTATAATTTAGTTGTGTTGTATATTTGTTACATATTCTTCATACTATTATAGTTCCTCTTCCTTCGAAAAATAATCCGCTAGTTCCTCTCTCGTGTTTAGCAATCTAGTCCTTGTTTGTCGTATAATTCTTCTGAAGAGAAACAGTGAACCTATTTCATTATTTGCTGCTCTCCAATTTCCAGGCGTCACAATACCTGCTTCTTCAGAATCAAACGTTCCCTGTGACATGTACAGTGCGGTTGAATTAGGTCTTCGTCGCAAGAAATTGTGTAACAGAATAACTGTTAGCACAATACAGGATGCTTCTTCTTTAACAATAGCAGAGGTTCCCTCAACACGCGGAAGATTGACGAGGCTATGCCGAATACATTTTCAACTACCCTGTGGGCTCTACAAAGTCTGTAGTTAAAAATTCTTTGTACTGTTCTCTTGGTATGGCAACTAGGCTAAACTTTCGTAAGATTTTCGGACATAGCAGAGGCTTCACCCCCAAGAAGAAAAATGGCAGTTTCTTTTCTCTTCCACTTAAACCAGCAAACCAGCAAGCAGTTTTCTTGTCTTAGCGTATGCAACTCGATACTTACAAGTACCCCACAGTTTGGGTAACAGAAATTCTTCCTTGATAACCCACGTGCACGAACATGAAATCATAATTAGTGTCAACTATAGGAGAAATCACAATGCCGAAGAAACTTCTGTAGTTTATGTAATCGGTGCCATTTTTTATGGGACACTGTAGAATCACGTGCTTGCCACTAGGATCCCCGATACAATGTAGAAAGTTATACTCAGTATCAAAATCTCTAGCTACTTTTAGCCATTCTTCTTGTGCTTTCAGAATCTGCAACAAAACGTATGCTAAGTTTTTATATTTTTAGTTTAATTTCTTGTTTTACGATAAAAAGACAGTAACAATATCTTTGTTTAGACGCATGTAAATGAAACAACACCAAATGAGGATATGGAAGGCCGGAAGCTACAGCACAAAATATGGAAATAAAATCCCCACCAGCATCAAGAGAAGAAAGATAGACGATTAGCGCCTCGATAAAGCTTTTGAGATGTTGACAAACTCCGCATTACTGCAACATTATGCAAGATGAGAATTTTCATTTGGGCCATTTGATAGCTTCATTATTCATTCACATATATCTTCAACAGCAAATAGAGGCTATTATAGAAATATTAATTATACATTTCACCCTAATCCGGCTTATCATCCATCGAATCTTTCTCCCAAACCTTTCACCTTTCAAAGCCACCGTATTTACGTATCAAACGCTCATTTGACTCGTTCAACAAATACAACCTTCAACAAAGGTAAAATGAACAAATCTTTGAAGATTATAATCAACATTTGCCTTAAATGTTTCTTTCAGAATATATGCATGTATATACAGCCCCTATTTGCTAGAAAGGGGATATAAAGAGATATATTAAAGGTATTATCAGATCATAACGCGAAAGATTTCATTTTGCAATTTTTCGTATAATAAAATATACTTACCTGAATATGGTCTTTCAATACTTTCACAATGGCATCACAAATTTCTGGCACAATTTTGCATATTAATTGTTTAGAAGTTTTAGAAAGATACTGAATGTATGAGCTGCCGGTAGCCAAAAAGGTAACGTTATCGCCGATCTAACTTTTTTGTTACCAAATTAACCGTAATAAAAATTCGAAATCACTAGAATGCATTCTTGTAAAGTGTTTGTATAACCTATACATATGTTGAAACGATGAATCTGCGTCTATGCTAAATCCATTGTATAGTTCTCTATTTTTATATGTTTGTGACATCCACTAAAGAGATGATTTCCTTTTTTTGGTCTTTGGAATATGATGCATCAAAATACAGGAGGCCGCTACCAACGCAAGAGGCGAACTCATCGTAGTCGCGGGATGAATTGAGACCCTGTCCTTCGCGACTGGTCGTATCCTCAGTTTCTATACGGAACGTAGATACGCATGCAAATGGCGTTGCAGTACGAGAGATCATTCACACGAACTTTTACCCTACCGCCTCAAAGTGTAACTGGCTGCAATCGAGTCTTCTTAATCGTTTGAATCTCAGAAGTCATTGAAGAAACAGGATCGAAAAATCCCGTACAGCATGGTGGCGCTTCTCTTAGCGATTGTGAAGAGAACCAAGTGACGCAATAGCGCTCGTCGTATTTGTTACTTTATGAAATACATCTATATTATTATACGTTGGAGATGTAAGGATGTTACGCCACGAGGCTTACCACAGGCTGTATTTTCTAACCGTCGCTCGCGGTCCTACAGTGTCGCAGACCGTCTTATCTGCCCGCCGGATCATACACAATGTATCGACGAGAGTGTAACGTCAATTCATATCAGAGACCAGGCCACACACCACGGACAGGATGGCATCCAGATGTCTGCATATCCTTGGCGCGCACCCTCAATAGTCTTAAGTGCCCACCAGAGGCCTTGGCATTTTTATAGTTAAGGTCCTTCGGACCAAGCGAGTATTTCCTGTCTTAAATCTCTCTTTACGTTTATTGTTTACCACGTGTTAGCTTAGAAAGTTTGTTTTTACCACATCTGGTATGTTTCGTTGGCAACTTTCTCGCGAGAGCGGCTAAAACCCTTCCTGGTCCACCAACCGTCCCATTATCCAATCGGAGACGGTGTCTACTGCCCTCACTTCCTTAACCAAAATTGTCATCAACAAATCCGATAGTCCCGTGTCCTTAGACACACCCACCCCTAG